CTTAAATACAGCACTTGAAACGGTTATAATGAATTGAGCTGTTTAAAACACACACTTGGTTTTCGCCATGACGCATTTCCACTGCGTCCTGCATTGAAATCACCTGTAAGATGAAATGTGACGTGACGCCCCACGAGGGCGATAACAGTCAGTGGCAGCTGTATGTGAATTTTGCATTTCAGTATTAAATAATGAATACGAGATGCTTGTCAGCTGTTGATTCCTCAAGTATTTGCTCGGTTATTACTCCACATTGGAGAAGTTGCAGTTTCTCTCTTCAGGCTACGAACTGTGGCTTCATTTTTTCATACTGTCTGGGACAGTTTGACATCAAATTATTAGCACATAATAAGCTAATAATTGTGCTCAATAGTCATCTGATTAATATAAAGTACATGCAGACAGTGAAGCTTTAAAAAAAAAAAGAAGCAATCTTTAATGCATTATTTGCATCCTGTGATTTGTGTTTTTCTTTCTACATTTTTTTCTGAATTGACTTAAAATACACATCAGTGACTGTGGTAATGTGCCAACAAATGTCTTAGCCATCACTGGTGCTCCTCACACTGAGCAGGATTTATTTTACAGTTAAGCTCCTCTAAGGGGCCGTAATGCCTTTTCAGATTGTAAAGTCACACATACATACAAGTACAATAAGTTAACCTGAATATCTTTTTTTTTTTTTTTTTTTTTTTTTTTTTTTTTTTAATCTTTATTTTTTTAGTTGCTCCTAATTGGCTTGCTCTGCAATCATAATTTCAGGATGTATTTTGTCTACTTAACTAGTACTGCTGTTAGACTTTCATATTTGATGATCTTTACTGAATGTGACTAAAAACCCAGAGACAGAAAACTATTTTTGACCAGTGTGACAGCAAAGTTAGCCTTGCATCTGATATCCAGATGTTTCACTGTTTCCACTTTTCACGATTCTTTGTAAAAATCATAATTTTTTGAGTGTGAGCAAATACAGAAATGGAATCTATAGCTGCCACGGAGTGAGAGCTCTGTAAAGACGTTTTACTGTATTTTCCGAATGCGTTCTTAAATCTGCTCTTCGATACTGTTGCCTCTGACTGACAGATGCGTAGAGATGAATTGTACTTGTGGGGCTGCTCTCCCCGACACTCCCTGCAGATTCTTGTTTAAGATGAATTGTTTTTGTCCATTGAGTTTATCCAAAAACAGCTTTAGGACCTGCTCTGTTTAATGTGGCTCTCAGTGCCATTTCTTTTCTGTTAAAATGCTTCATGTTGGTTTTTGGACTTTATGCCTGGCATTGCCTTGGTTATTTTACAAAAACTGAATGTCAAATAAAATGAACCATCCACTCTGAATGCTGTGACTGTTCTTACTAATACTTTGATGAAGTGTAAGGAAAATAACAAAATAAAGATCATTGTTTTGGAAAAGGTAAGCGACTGAAAAGTGGGTGTGATACCACCTGCTGAAATTAAAATGAAATGCCACACAAATAATGTTAAGCAAATAATAATGGGTGTAGTCCATAAGGTCAAAAGCAGTCGAATGTATTACAAAAGCTGTAACAATCAGTTTCTTTGAAGTCTCATTTATATGTACATTTTGGAGACAATGCATCAGGTGACTGAGCCGTTGCGTCAGACTTTGAGGTACTGCAACAGCAGAGGGCAGCAATACTGTAGGAAACATGCTCCCC